AAGTCATGGTCAATTCTTTACTTTAATTCTCGATTCCAAAATTACTGTGATGCTCTGTTAATTTGGCTATCACTCGCATATAATTACTTTAAGCTTACAAGCCTTGTACTTTTATCTTAAAATGTGCCTTGACTGATATACCCTTTAGCTGACACTCCTCAGTCCACATCTTTCCTTTCAGATATTTTATGTTCAACTCCTGGCTAGATCCCTCTTTACTGAACCCATTTGATAACATAATTGCATACTTTTACACAAGTGCACGAAATATATTCTGACACTTTGCCTTATATGTCATTAATATTCATGTAACTTATTTCCATTCACAGACCGTTTACCGCGAGTCATACATCCTATGCATATTCATTAATTTACGATTTAGTTAACAGTACTGTAAAGTAGAATGAAATATTCTAATATTGTGACACCTTCCATATTTTGTTTAAATGAGAAAGTTTTCTGACAATTTTTTTTAAATTGAATATTTTAAATTGCAGGTGCTAGCACTCTTGGAGAATAACCTGCTAAACCTTGGACATACCTGGATGAAACGCATTGACTTTGGCTTCTGCATCTTGTGTAGTGCTTGCGACAGGGAGAAGAATCACTTCCATGAACTCAAGAAATGCCTGAAAGCAAAGTGTGTTCCTTGTGGGAACCATCGGCGGATGAAGACTAAACGGTTCCAACGCTTGTTTGGGGAATCCGGAGCAATGCAAGGTAATATTGTACAAACCTCAATTTCTACTCGTACTAAGATATATTGTTTTTGTTTATTGTTGTTAATAAGTATTAATAAAAAAACTTTTGCCTCCTAGGTTTTAGTGTATAAAAATTGTACTTGAGAGTTGGATACGTGGCATGCCTAGTAGTTTACAATTCCCAATCCATGGCATATTAATGATGGATCCATTTGTAATTTTGTCATTATCAAATTTTGTTTTATGTTTTTTCTCATAATTAGTACTATTTCGTAAAAACACTTTTTCAGTGATTATATACTTTCATACATATTGAAAACAATGATGGTCGTTACATAAATGTTTGAATGACCTGAAGACATTGATTGTTTATTTCAGAAATGCCAAAATCCCCTGCTGCTCAGGTAAAGCACAAGGTGCCTGTTTTCCTGCGGTCACTAAACGGAGTCTTCAAGGAAATCTCATCACCTATCCTGCCATTTGACCTTATGACAGAGATCTGCGTCCTCCTCGACCCGTTGCACCCACTTTCCAATGATTGGCGTGGCCTAGCCTCAAAGCTTGGCTATGATCGTTATATCAACTACCTGTCCATGAAACTTAGCCCTACCATGTGCATACTGAATGGGTGGTCTGAGAAAGGCTGGTCAGTTGAGGATCTTAAGGAGTGTATGATGGCCATGAAACGTCATGATGTTGTACACTTGATTGACAAACAGCTCCCAACCGAAGGTTGAAGATGGGAGACTCAGCAATGCATTGTGCATTCTCTGTCAGAAGCGTCTGCATAACAGTAGAAGAATATGTACGCTGCATCAGGGGTGGCGCCAGCAGGTGGGCTGGCTGGGCGTCGGGGAGCCACAATAAAATCTGGCAGAGAAAAATGAACCATGGTAAGGCTGAGGTGCAGGCCCTAGGTGTATGATTGTTGTGAAAATTTAAGCTGTGATCTAACCATGGTCCATTTTTGCACACCCAATACCCCCACATCTTTAACAATTGTAAGTGGCCCAAGGTGGGTTGGTCCATCTGAGAGAAAAAAGCTGTAGCACCCTTGTACTATACCTGGTGCTGCAGTAATTGGTGCTCCTAAAATAATAATATTCTTTGTGTAATATATGAATGATATTGAAGTCTTTCACACTATGATGGTGATGTTGATGCAAAATTGGACAAATCTTGTATATTGACATGTAAATTTTGGCATTACTATTTTGTACATACCAACCACTTTCAAGTCTATATTTTTACTTTATTTTGTATACTAATCAATTAAATGCTTTTGTGACAAAATATAAATAAACTGCAATTTGTAATTTTATATAATTATATAATTTTATAATAGAATGTATTTTCTTAACATTACTGTGATCTTAAACTTTTCGTGAGAGCAGGTAACTTTAAAAGAATTTCCTAAGGGCCAACATGTGTTTGCAATTAATCCAATGAGAAAATTTGATCCAACAGATGTCATAAATATTTTGCGTGCTATGTAAGATATGATTATATCTCCATGATACGATACATCTTCATTCTCACAACAGTATACTACATCTGAGATATGGAACCTAAAATCTCGAATTAGAAATAACTAGAATTATGTAAAGTTTGTGAAAACAAACAATAAACTTCAATAAATGTTTACATATTAATGAGATGGAATAAATACTAAAGCCCTATCCAGACTATGAAATTTTATTTGATAAAAATATGTGACGTGCCTAAATATGATGACATCACATCATGACCATATATAGGCACAACATGACTAAATATGGACATACAACAGTTTTTGTCAAAGAAAATTTGATAGTGTGGACAGAGCTTAATACTACCAGTATGACTGCTCCCTGATGCTACTACAAAGAAAATGAGATGGATATTGGAACTGAATGTTGGTAGTTTAATTGTTTTGTGGGCTATGATAATTCTCACGGCTACCTAAAGGTCCATTATATTGCTACTCTTTGTCTTTTGGCTGAATTGAATTCATGTATGCACCTTTCAGACAAGGCTTTTTGTTGACACTATCAAAACAAGCCTAAATCATTAAGGAAATATCCTCCATGCCTAAATATTCTGTGTTCATAGCCATTGGAAGCATCTTGCAACTGGTTTAACGATATATATAGTGGATTTATTGACATGCATTAAACTTCTGTGCTTAAAATATTTGTATTGTATAATTTTGTATCCTCTCATTGGTGAAATAAATTACATTCTTTTACAAAGTTCTATTTACTTGTGTTTTTTGTTATTGTGGTTTGATTTAGAAACACAAATGCAAAAACAATCACTAATATTGTAGGTAAAGGTAAAGGCAATGGTAGGAGAATAATAACTGGTCCGTGACTACCTAGCAGCTTCATGGTAGCTACATGTTCACATCATTCCACAACGCCAGGGGCTGAAATGAACCGTAACTTCTGGGTAACCCACTACTTTTCCGAAAGATGCAATGGGTTCTTTAAGTGCACACAAGCCAAATGTATACACTACTGGGCCTTCATTTTAAGTCCTTATCCGAGAAGACCGAGTCTGAAACGGCCATTTATAAATAAATATATTGATAATTTTATATCAGAACATTTATGGTAAATGGAAAACAGACAAGAAAACAAACGTATGACAAACTAATTTATTGACTAATTCATAAGTCTCCATTTACCTTAAGCATTAATAAACATGCAATCAAAATATATATTGCGCAACAAACAATAAAAAGAAACGTATCTCTAAAGAGATATAATCAGGTACGAAGGTTAGTTAATAATAATCAATATTGGTTAGGGGGAAACTTGGTTAGGGGCGACTTGACTGGCATCCGCTGGAATCAGCGCCGCTCCTGCCTTACCGCTCGGCCACTCAACTCTCCCAAATATTATTACATTTCTGAAGTGCCGTCGGAGTATGTATAGAGTGATTGCTATCTTTTTGTTCGTTTTCTTACTTTTCTATCGAACCTTTTTGCTTCCTGCCTAAGTGCATATCTGTATATTCAAGTGTTTCCACACTTTCTTTAGGTTTGGTTCTGCAAGCTTCACTCATGGGGATTTTGTTGACTTTTGAGGAGTGGCTATACATCACTATGTAACTGCAAGCAAAATCGCTACCGGTATACATGTAACAAGTAATTCATCAATGTCAGTTTCTTCAATCAGGTACTTACGTAGGCTTAATGCCACTACAAATATACTTTTTCGAAAACCTTATTCTAAAGCAATTTAAATACTATGTCGGCACGCACGTCTTTTTTCAAAGTTTTAGTTCAACAAACACTAACCCCCCTCCCCTTGCCTGCTAAAGCCATCCACTGCTACCCGCGCTCGTACCTACTCGTTCAGTATTATAAGAGAACTTAAATATAGAAAATCATTTAATTGGTTCTAGCATCATGTGAAATTGGGACCAAATTAAAATTGTAATAATATGGAAATACGTATAGGCCATTGGATATTGTAATACACACTCCCTGTATTGTAATACAGCGTAGCGTACACTGAGAACATCGTCAACGATTTGGGTGGGTATTAAAACTTTTTCGATATTGTGAACCTATTTCGATTAAAATTTTAAAGTGATTATATTATAAGAATTAGATGAGTCACTGTCGATAAAACAATTCTTGGAAGAGGAGTATTCTAAATATCGGTACTATTAAGCCTAGGGACTAAGCAGATGGCTCAGAACGCCGTTCTCCATCTACAATTGATTTTATGTGCATTATTTATGTGTACAATTCTTAGCTATATACACTAAAGAATCTTTACACTCACCGTTTCATCTGAATAAATTTACCAACAATTGAAGAATAATAATGCAGCAACATGCTTGGTCAACTTGTAAACATTTAGAGCCCCATAGATCAAATTTGGGAGCGTTATACAATACATTTTAAACAATGTCATCGTAATGAAACACTAGCTATATTATTGAAAACAAACAACTTGAAACAAAAGCGGTCGGTGTACAAATTCAAATAAATATCTAAAATATAGATAATGGTGCATTTTTACGATCAATCATGCATATTTTGTGATAATAGATATGCAAAACAAACATTAGTTGTTAGCTGTATAATCTTTGAATTTTATTCATTTTAGACTGATTTATTCACATGCTTGATTATCTTGTAGGTCTAATCATTAAAAATGAATGTTGGAGGCATGTTTTTCATGTGACTTTGTTAATAAAAAATGGGTGAAATTGTGCACAAACTTCATGCTCTTGGTCTATAAATAACATACAATGCCGGAGGAAAGGATATCACGTTATAGTCACCAAAAAGAATTTTCCACGGACGCAGAGTAGGCCTTCAAATAGTACGCCCCTCGAAAAATTACTCGCCCATCCAGACGCCCCCTCCAAAAAAAAAAAATCACCAGGTCAAGTTGTTAAAAAGCACGGGGCTCGGTGATCAGTTAATAGGCCTACTACGTCTAGAAGTGTAGAGATTGTAGTATATAATTCATTGAAAATGCTTAGAAAATAATTGGATATTTTTTAATGAAGTTGTATGTGTATGCCCTATATGCCTATATAGGGCCTATGTAGGCCTATTCAGTTCTGCGAATCTCGAGATTTTGATTTTTCTAAGTGGCCACGCTGGGTGATTTTCAACGGACTTGAGTGATTTTTTTTTGCTTAGGGAATGGCTGAGAGAATTATCTTTGGGTGTGGGGAGGGGGTTGGCTGCCGTGCGATGCAAGTCTTTTCCCCATGAGTATAAACTAAGACTAAACTGGTGCGCTGTCATACACAAAAATACGTCTTTCGTGATGATAAATTTACAATTTGCATGCAATGCAGTAGGCTGAGTTATGAGGTGACTCTCAGTTTTGCGCTGGTGACTCTCAGTTTTGCGCTGCTGCCAATTGTATTTTGTCCTTTTGGCGTTCCATATGAATTTGCCTATAGCAAATGGGAGGAACCAGAAAATGTCAATTAAAACTTAAAGCCTGCCTATGCTCTTTCCTTGATGTGGATTAGTTGTCGTCGCTCGAATCTTGACACGAACTCAACTGGATAAGGCTTAGATCGGGGCTTCGATCCGATTTTTCCTGATTGTTTTGGTATGGTAGGCTTCGATACGAAAGTCACCAAAATGCCATAAGCTTTGCAGTACTGAATCAGCTGAATATTTCCTCGGATATTTCTGGAATTTTTTAGGCTAGTTAGCGTCTGGAAACTACCAGTCCTTGGCCCTGCATCTAAATAGGCTACCAACACCAGGTGAGATAACTGTAACCATAGAGCAAAGAAACAGTTCTTTGCTCTATGCTGTAACACATACGGAAATAAATTAAATGTAGGCTATAATAGTAGTAGTAACCATCATTTTTGGGGCAGGACAGGACCGGTTGAGCCGAGCTGTATTATGGTAGACGACTACGTAGCCCCGTAACTGAGCCGGGGATGCAAATGTGGGTTGGGGGGGAGTATGGAACGCCGGGAGTGCCTTCAGTGAGTTTTACAATGCAGCAGTGACCAAATTTATGATTTATGCTGCGGTTATGGAGCGCGATATCGCTCAGTATTCGGTTCCTGAACTGCAGTTCAATTAGAAATTTACTGCAGCGAGTTCTCTGGCCTCTGATTGGTCAAATCGCAGCAGTAACTTAAACTCGCTGCAGTAAATTTTTTTCTGCTCTGTGATTGGTTGGAATTTGTTGCCAAGAAACTTGCTGCAGAAAGTTTATTATACCACCCAAACACTTTACTATGATGTATTTGATTCGTCAATGAATTAGATACTATACCACCATGCATGAAGAGTATTTTAATGTATAATATAAATGTATCACACTTGCATTTTACACTCCAAGATTCAAGATCGCATTTATTGTCATATACGAGCATTAATTGTTCGCCCATCAGCAAGAATACGATGGTCAGGCGAAGGCCTATATTATTGTTACTACTGGTGTGATTGTTAGAAAATTTTCAGCCAAGTAGAAAGCATATATATATATATATATTTATATATATATATATATATATATATATATATATATATATATATATATATAT